TGATTAACAGAGTACATATAGCCAATAAAGGCAAATGAAAATAATATCAGAAACTGTATTGGGGTGCAGGTGTAAGTTGAGATGATAGTCCATTAGTTAACATAGTCAATCAAATTTGTATAGGGTGTATAGTCAGAAAAAATGTGATGAAGTGTGAATGAACAATTGGGTGGTGATATAGCACTGTTTTATAGTCAACAGAATACAAGTGTCTTTGGGGTGAGAGAAATACGACTACCACAAAATACATACAAATACATATTAACAAAGGGACACTGAATGTCAGGGCTGACCGATAATGTCTAATGAGAGGCTAAATTGTAAATTGTAATAAGATGTTACAGAATTGGTAGGCCTTGTATAAAATCACAAAGGTTGACAAAAGTTAAGGGTAACGATGAGGTGAAATAAACTGGGTGGGGAAATGGAGAGTGAAGACATGATATCACAGAATGATAATAATAATACCTATTTATTCACAAGTAAAAACACAGTTTTTTGCTCAGCGAAGAAATTTCTTTTCAACGACTTCATTTTCAAGCTGTGCAGTCAGTCGTATGTATATTACAGAAAAAGGTTATTAACTGGCACTAAATAATTGCTCAGTCAATATACATATATATGTGATAAGAATAGCGATAATTAAAATGTTATAAGGGGTAGAGTTGAAGTGGATAAATTACAGAATTATTAAAGATTGTTTTATAAGTGAATTGATATCAAAAATGTTCCGAAAATGTCAAGTGTTGTCTAAAAAATTTCAAAAATGAGGAGTACGATTACTGTAAGAATGAAGATGTGAAGTGAAGTGGAAAGAATTCAAGTGGTAAAATAAAATAAAATAAAAACTAGAAATAATATTACTATTTTTATTTGTAAACTTATCTATATTAGAGTTAAGCCTGATGAGATCTAATTGAAAACAATATTGTTCGCTTAAATGTGTTGTTCTAAATATTACTATGACCAAGGTAAAGAAAGGGGTTTGACAAAACGTTTTTGAACACGTAATTTAGGTTTCTGTTCATGTATAGCTAAAGCTTCGACTATGCATAAGTGAAGACAAATCACAGTTCCAAAGAAAAAACTGTTGATGAGTCTTGCAATCAAAGGTGACACCATTTCTGAATTGATTAAAAGTCGTTTATCTAAATGTATTAAACACACTTTTCCTGCAGCTGACTTGCAACTAGTTTTTACCAGCCAAAATATGATTAGACAATACGTCAAGGATAGATTACCGCTTTTGTCCACATCCATGTGCATTTACTTTTTTACCGGCTCTTGTCGAGCTGATTATATTGGACGTTGTAAGCATAATCTCCGAAAATGTGTAGCTGAACACTATCCGGTTTGGTTAATGAAAGGCGAACGTAGAACTGTGAAGTCGTCTATTTGTGATCACCTGTTAGATTCTGGTCATTCAGCCCCATGTGATTCATCCTTCACGGTTGTCTACATGGCAAAATCAAATCGCTCCAAGAGTTTACGTTTTCTTCACTTATGCATAGCTGAAGCTTTAGCTATGCATGAACAGAATGGAAATTATACTTACAACGTCCAATATAATCAGCTCGACAAGAGCCGGTAAAAAAGTAAATGCACATGGATGTGGACAAAAGCGGTAATCTATCCTTGACGTATTGTCTAATCATATTTTGGCTGGTAAAAACTAGTTGCAAGTCAGCTGCAGGAAAAGTGCGTTTAATACATTTAGATAAACGATTTTTAATCAATTCCACAACAATCTTCACTTAATCATTCTCATCATCACCTTCGAAAATAGAGCATCATTCTTCTTCTGTCACTCTATTTTGATATGCCTTTTCGAAGTGTAGTAAAGTGAGCTAAAGAGCTTTTGGAAAGTTGTACATTAATACATCAATCAATCAGTCAACCAGAAGGCAATGAGTGAATAGTTAGGATCAAAATACAAAATGTTTCTTTCCACTAGGAAGACAGTACCCTAATCCCGATATTCAGATCAAACAGTACTAGACGTGCAATTATTTCTTCTTAACCTTTCTCTCTAAATACTTTCATTTTAAAAGCTAATTTTAGTTTTGAAAACTTATCAGCACGGGAGGAGGAGAGTAAAATAACGAATGAAATGACTTCAGTGATATTTAACTTTTTCATATGTATATCGACTTGACAAGTAAATGTTCGAAATGTATAACACAAATACATCACATATGTTTTCAGATAATCTCCGTCTTCTATTAACGCTATCCAAATTTCTAAAGGGGACTGACTGTTTTAGATTCAGTTAGTCAAAGTAATAACCTATGTTGTAGTTTTGGTAACCTGTAGTTTTTCAAACGATTAATTAACTTAGATAACTTTTGACTTGAAGTCAACATTCATATTAACATAACGGGGTAAATACAACCGATCAGATGAAGCAATCATTGATTTCATATTGTGGCGTGTGCTACTGATAAGATTTGTCAGTAGCACATATGTATATGTCAATCTGAACAAAGAATTTTCTTAACTATTCTTATCACATATATATGTATATTGACTGAGCAATTATTTAGTGCCACTTAATAACCTTTTTCTGTAATATACATACGACTGACTGTACAGCTTGAAAATGAAGTCGTTGAAAAGAAATTTCTTCGCTGAACAAAAAAATGTGTTTTGACTTATGAATAATAATAATAATACTAAAAATTGTGATCCTGGTGACCTTATAGTGGGCCAGGGTAGACAGAGAGAGTGATTAAATTTCTTCTGTACACATAGGTCTGGTCTCTCTCTATTAATCACTATATCCTCAGCTATTGCTAGGAGGTGTAATTTTGTGCCTTAAGGGAGATTGTTTGGTACTCGATACACAATTGTAAATGACTCATCTACTTTGATGCTGTGTTCGCTATCCACTAGATGAGACAGAATTGCACTACTTAGTGATTTGGTTGCTGATTCTGAAAAGCAGCCATGGTATATGATCATAAGTAGTTTAAAGTATGACTTCTTCCTGAAAAGCAGTAATATTTTTTTATTTTAACCAATAAAGCTCTCTGGAAGAAATGAAGGATAGATAGTTGTAATGTCGAGGGAAATCAAATAACTGATAGTGATTGAAAAGGTGTTAAGTTGCTTTGCATTCAGTTCATGCTTTGTGTCTGAAGGACTGTAGCTGCCTTTTCCCGTTTTAATTCTACACTAGAAGCACCGAACTTCTGGAGTTTTCCCACTTACATACTCATTAACGACAAGGCTGATGTATCCTATATTCCTTGGCAAGCTCAGAGAACACTATTAATTGCAAAGCAAGTTAATTATTCAACTTCTAAGTTAAAATCCAATGGCTTGTGAAAACTAACTCCTGTTAATTTTCAAGATATTTAGGCAACCACTCAGTGTTATTTCATGATAATTTGTCATTATAAGAGATCCCTGATAGGGTTTAGGGGCACACACAGATGAACAACCATAAACTGAAGAGCAATACCTGTACAGTGGCATTTCGACTCTCTGTTTAGTATCACACATATACAGTAATCAACTGTAAAACATAAGAACAAGACATATAAACGAACAAAATTGTTTTCAATTAGATCTTCTTCAGGCTTTACTCCAATTTACATAGATTTATATATAAAAAATTTTAACCAATGACGGTGATTTTGTGGATCAAATAATAATAATGTGGTAAATGTTTTGAACGAAATTAATAACGATGATTATAATGATAACAAAATTTTGATAATCAGGTTCATGCAGGTGATAAAAATAACAAAGGTAGTATATATATATATATCCATACGAAGTTCTATTTCGGCTCATTCGATTGATAGCAGGCACCAAGTGGACAAAAATAGTGCTTTCAAAGTTATTTACCGCATTCCATCAAGCCTTTCGAACGGAATCAGAACCCGTCTTTTACACTTAGCCGAAGTTATGGGAATTCGAGAGAACAATCCTAGTCTTTGTATACAAAAGTTTGTTCTACCTTTGTCTCTCCCATGGCCTAGGTGAATTCTATTCAAAACCCTCTCATCCTTTTTTATTTTCCATCTTCTTCATACTTTTATGATATTTATTTAAACTCTGATTATTGTTCCATTTCACCTTTTAAGATTTGACCTAATTTACTTACTTATTGAATTGTCTTCATATACACATATATACATATACTAACTTTGTTATTCTTATCACCTGCATAAACCTGATTATCAAAATTTTGTTATCATTATAATCATCGTTATTAACTTCGTTCAAAACATTTACCACATTATTACTATTATTATTATTATTATTTGATCCACAAAATCACCGTCATTGGTTAAAATTTTTTATATATAAATCTATGTAAATTAGAGTAAAGCCTGAAGAAGATCTAATTGAAAACAATATTGTTCGCTTATACGTCTTGTTCTAATATTATAAATGGGAATATTTAAAGATGTAAAATATAAATCAAAGCCTTATAAAATAAATATTTCATTGGTTGGAGGATTTCACCATGAGCTGATATCAGTTGGAGAACCACTAGAAAACCTGTAGGGAGTAATGGACGTCCAGCTGTTTCGTCCTAGTTTGGGACTCCTCATCAGTACTCACCCACCACCAGGTTTCGAACTCAAGACCTTCTGGTTACAAGCCTAGAGAGCTCGTAGACCATTAAACAACTGGGACTTGATCCAGTAATCAGTGCATGAACTCTAACTTCTGCTAATTCACGACATAGTGTGACCACTTTGCAATGTCTTCTTCTATGAGTAAATGTCCTCACCTCACTGATGTCACCTCATGATGAAATCCTGCAAACAATCAAACAAAAATTCCTACAAAACCAATACTTTAAAATCCAATATTTGTATTTGGTGTTTCTCGTACAGGTTTTTTTTGGTTTAAAAAGCAATCAGCTGAAACATCAGACATAATATTAAACTTCTTGTAGTATTTTACTAAAACAGATTATAAATAACAAGAAAAACAAATCGATAAAAAGTATTTTAAAAAATAAATGAAAACTTTTTACTTACTCTCGTCTAAATTCAAGATTACATCCTTTACTCATTTTAGATTTCATTTGTTGCTTTGCCTTCTCTTGAATTTCTTTTTCTGTTAAACGTGCTCTTAGACAAGTGATCAATTCATCAGGAAATTGATCACGATTTGCTTCAAGAAACTTTACAACATATTCATCAGCATCTGTTATAATGAAACGTGTACCAAATACATCAATTTTTGAACCTAAAGAAAAATCTGCTGGACCATAGTACACTGGATTGTCGATTGTACTACCAGGTTTAGCAACTCTGTGTTTTGTTTTTTTGGTGTAAAATTGAAAACAGTAGGAAAAAAAAGCGAAAAGGATGATATGGATTAATGTAGAATAAGTAAAATAGAATGGATTTAATTATCAAGGTAAGAAAGAAATATGATCCCAAATATTTTGATTGGGTACGTCGGTGGCATAGCGGTTAGGACGCATGCATATGGTCCGAGGTTCGATCCCCGGCCGGCGAACTCCTTTACCTCGCTAAGCCAGAAATAAAGCTGGTGAAGAGGAAAGATTGGGCATTAGGCTAGCAACCCCATCCTGTAAAAATAATCAACACTGCCACAGAAACTTCAAGCCACTAGCTTGAAGCCCTATGTTCCACTGGGAACGTGAAGGAATTAAAAAAATACTTTGATTGGACAATAGGTAGTTAATGATGTCATGAGTCAAATCCTTCGTTTGGTGGACACTGAATCCTATCACTCAAGACTGTAATATGGTAATATATGCTAGGTGACCCGTCATCATGGTGCACTCTGAAATGCTGTTAGATAGTTGGAGGCAATTGACCGGAAGGTTTTGCGCTTGTCGGAGCTTGTCAGAGAGGCACACCTGAAATCTTTGAAGGAATTGGTGTCCCTCCTGAGATTCGAAACCCAGTCACCACTTAGCCATTCGAGTTCATGACTTGCCTCCTATAGGAAATTATTGGGAGCCTAGGTCCAAGGTTTCCTGATGGTTGCTTTCAACAATCTAGTGATCCAAATACAATAAACAAAAATGTTTGGTGGAAAGAACCTAGATGCGCCATTGTCAAAACACTATTTGAGTTGTTTCCTCAAGAGTTGCTTAACAGTCATTCTTATCATCCCGGGAATACAAGTGAAAACATTGACACTTGGTTATGTGATTCAAATCAATATTCACGGGTTTCATAGATTGGCCTATTCACCATCGATACTTAACTAATCTGCTTCTTGATTGCGTAACACATCTTCTAGCCACATCAGTCAATGGGTCTTCATAACTTCAGGGACTAACCTTCCCTCCTTACCTAACACTTTACGCTTAACTGTATCACTAACGACAATACTGAAGTGATACTAGCGCACACATTCATCTTTAGCGTTTTAGGGTAAACGTTTACTTAATAGTAATGCCAATGTGTTAACACACAGAATTAAATAATTAGTTCTATAGAATCTGATTACTTATCGCTTCATGATTTCATTAGTAATTCGCTTTTTATTCTTTTGCATTCCAAATGGAAAACTGGGCTTCAAGCTTTAAGCTTTGTAGTTTCAGCAGAGATAGTGATTTTGTCTTTAGGGGTAGGGGTGGCTCTCTCCTCGACCAGACTCCTTTCCTTTCCAGGCTTATCATCACCTGGTCATCTAGGCGAGTATATCAGCTGGGAATCGAATGAGGACCTTGTCACGTGGTTGATGTGCATTCTATCGCTGAACCATCAAGGAACTGATATTAAAATATTATCAATGTTGAAATAATAGAAAAGATTTGTAACTCAGGTGGATGATTTGCAATTAATAGTGTTCTCTGAGCTGGTTGGTTCAGTTGCAGAGCTTTCGTCGTCTTTCTGGACGGCATCTTCTCCTGGTTGGTCACCAGGAGACGCAATTGTATCATCATTCATGGAGATTTCTAAATCATTTAACTTTATGCTAAATACTGCGCTGAAGATGCCGTCCAGAATGACGACGAAAGCTCCGCAACTAAACCAACCAGCTCAGAGAACATTATTAATTGCAAATATTATCAATGTATTTGTGCTAAGTGTTTATGCGAAATGCTGAGTTTAAATTATTAGTATTATTATTTCAAACATAAGTAAGTGCTTGCTATCTGTAATCACACAAACGATTGGGATCTTTTATTCGCACTTTTACAGACTATAACCGTTTAGTGTAGCGTCTTTATTTTGTAGTTTAATGTGTTTTTTTTATGTAGACAAAATTGTGTTCCATGATGCTGATAGTTGTGTGACGTCATTTCTGTTTTATTTGTTAAGGGTCACGTACGTGTATGAATAGGGATCCTACTTTTAATCTTTTCTTCTATTCTTTCATATTGAACCCCGGTGGGTGCGCGTTGACAAAGAGTCTTAAACTAGGATGAAACAGCTGGCCGTCCAGTACTCCCAGGTTTTCTAATGGTTCTCTAACTCACATCGGCTTATATGATGAAATTCTCCATCCAATCAAACAAAATCCCTACAAAACCAATACTTGAAAATTAATCGTATATGATCATTCAGCATCATCATAAGTGACCTCAACATCTAATATGCATAGTTAATTTTGACACTCATTACGGGATATTTTGTATACTACTTCATTTTTGTCCAATGTCCTTCACTGATTATTTGAAGTGATATTGTTTGTTACTAATCTGATACATTTTCTTATTGAATTGCTGCTTCGAACGTACCTTTCTTATTACTACAGTCTAATTATAATAATCTTTGTCATTATTCATCAATTTCTGTTTTGTAAGTGTTATGAAAGGTGATTTTTATGGGATATTTTGAATAAAATGTCCATTTCTTTTCGATGGTTGCTTTAGAATATATTTTCGTTTAGCCTGCATATTCTGCTTGTTATTATAATCCCTTTTCTAACAGGAATTAGATCAGGTGAAAAATGATTTAAAAATTGTGTTTATTCGATATGACCAGCTCATTCTCTACATATCCTAACCAACACTATGAATACATCAACTTTTTTATTGGTGAGATATGATAGTTATTCCTTCATAAGATAGAACAGTAGTTGTGGTGTGTGCTACTGACAAGATTTATAAGTAGTATTGTGGTGAGAGCTGGCTGCTAGCCACATTGGTAGACAGTAATTTACGCCAATGTTTACATACTCAATATTGGTCGTGAGAAAAATAAGAACAAAGACTGGCTCAACAACCAATCACAGGAGACTTTGCGTAGGCGGATACAGTTAGCATATAGATAATCTGACATTCAAGAAACGGCCACAAAGAGATGAAAGATTAACCTTCAGCTAGAAACCACCAATCAGAAGACTGTGTTTGTTTGCTTAAAATAATTTATAATAATGTACATGAAAATCTATAAATATGTGTTGATTTCTTAAACAAACGATCTATAGCCTGGCCCTTGTCTTCTGTTGTTACAGTATATGGATGGATATTAGTAAGAAGTGGTCACAGTTGAAACCAACACTTTAAGTCAGCGACTGCAGACATAGAAGTGTTTGTCCCTTAAATATGGATATAGTTTACGTTCTGTTTATGGAATGATCTAATTGAACATCTCACTGTTTAACCGTGAACCAATCGCCAACTAATCAGAATAATTTATTGTCCTCTGATCTATTCGAATCTTAGTATCGCTAAAAAAATGCATAAATATGATTCGTTTTCCCTGAGTCAGGTTTCATTACCACTTCTCTTATCTTCTGCCATTACTGCAGAATTACTACATATATGTGCTGCTTTATGTGTTTCACTAAGTTATTAAATTAAGTTTTAAGAGATCCACTATTGAGTGGCAAATGCGCTATTTCATTCATTTAGTTAGATTATTTGTTTCATAAGTGGAAATTTCACTTTGATTAATCAAACATTTCACTGAGTATAAAATGATTTTAAGTCTAGATATTTGTTGAAGTACTTCGCTTTCCTAAATGCACTATTATTATTATTATTATATAAAACATTATCTTATCTTAGCTTTGTCTCGCATTTCACAGTGAGCAGTGAGCTCATCACTTACCCTTCAGCTTATGGGTGAGTTAAGTCACGTCTCTTCCGTGTTCTTAATTCATTTCAATATACCTCAACTATACAAGAGTAGTTTAAGAGTACATATATATATATATATATATATATATATATGTTTTTACTAGTTTGACCACGGATTGATATCAGTATCCTAGTGGCTGAATGGTATACGAACTCGCCAGGCTTGTAACCGGAAGGTCCTGGGTTCGAACCCCAGTGGGTGAGTACTGCTGATGATTCTCGAACTAGGATGAACCAGCTGTCCAGTACTCCATGGATTTCAATGGTTGTCTAACTGATACCAATCCGTGGTCGAACTCATAAAAACAAATCTAATCCTTACAAACCAACTTTTGAAAATAAATGTAGATGTCACTCACTGTAAATGTTTACGACACCATATCTACTATTTCCGTTTGCTTATATTTTATGACTTAAAATTTGACCATCATACTATTCACGCATAAAAGGTTCTGTTAGTGAGCACCAAGTAAACTCTTAGTTAATTTTGGACTATTTGTAGAGCCATACTGTATGATATTTCTACACGAACATTCCCCTAATTCTTTTATGTGTCGATGAGTGAGTTGTAAGTGCCGATGTCAACCTCTAGTTAGTCACTAACGTCAGCACCTACTAAACTTGCTTTCCTCGGGTAACTATGATCAGTACTCCACCTAACGTGTAAGTACTGATAAACGAACTCAGAGTAAAAAGACTTGTGGCAAGGCAGTGTACTCAAGTGAGGATTATATGTTTACAACAGATTAAATGTCAAATTCAATAAATAAGAATACCGTACAACTTATCTGTTAACTGGCTGGAGTAGTGAGCTCAAGAGTGCGTCTAGTGATAGCACAATGAGGGGCCAAGCCACGTGCTAGCAGTCACGCCAGAAGAACAGTGAAAGCGCGGCGCCATATTACACGCATGCATTCAAACAAAAGTTCAAACAATCCAGTCCACTACAGAGTTTTGATTTCACTTAGTGACACGAAATTCAAATGATTTCTGTTAAGAAGTCTCATTCGGGTTATGTGCTTGGATAATCCATATGTTAGTGTCATTACTAAAGTCAACTTTAGTCTAAATAGAATATCCTAGATAAAATATTTTAATGATGCTTCACATTTTACTGCTATCTATTATAATTTTAGGCATGAAATAAAAATGTATAAAAACTCATGCAAAAAATGGCACTATTTGAAGTACTAGACAAACTGTACTTTGTGTAATTTGATTCATACGGGTATTTTTATAGATTATTTATTGATCAGCTTGTATTTGTTTTGTTCTTGCTTAAATACACAGGTTGATTTTCATTTTGATATAGTCTTCAGCTGTCTTTAAATACAGTTAAGTTATTTGATTGAAGTTGAATTTTATGATTCTACTGTCATTTCCTGAAGCTGTCTTCTAGTTCTATGATTTCTTCTTCTTCCTGTATGTTATTACTTAAAGTCAGTAAATAAGGTACTCTAGTTTAAGTTCAGTAATGTTTCTGTGGTAGGAATGTAACCTGCTGGTTGCAGTAAACCTGTGACTGTTATTTGATTGGTTGGAGGATTTCATCATGAACTGACATCAGTTGGAGAACCATTGGAAAACCTGCAGGGAGTACTGGACGTCCAGCTGTTTCGTGCTAGTATGGGACTCCTCATCAGTACTCACCCACTGGGGTTCAAATCCAGGACCTTCTAGTTACAAGCCTAGCGAGCTCGTAGACCATTAAGTCGCTGGGACCCGGTTCAATGGCCAGTGCATGCATTCTAACTTCTGCTAATTCCCGACATAGCGCAACCACTTCGCACTGTCTTCTTCGATGAGTAATTGTCCTCACCTTTGACCTAATGTACCCTACTGGTCACGGCTTTCCACTAGAACCCCAGGTTACTCCAGGACTGAATAGGACCAGTCGCTAGTGAGCATCAGATCAATTTTATATGGAACTTTATTGTATTGTATCTTTGACATGTCGAAACGCGTTTAGCAAATGAACTAATACTGAAATACGTACTTCGACCAAATTCAAGATATATTTTTGACTGACTAGTATATCAATTTGTGTGTTGATGGTTCAGCGGCAAGATGCTGGACGACAATGCATGTGGTCCGGGGTTTAATTCCCGGCCGGTGCTTACTGTAAGCAGGACAAAGAGGCAAGATTGGGCGTGAGGCTAACAACCCAATTCGGTTAAAAAACACCAGTGCTACTGAAACCTCAGAGCTGAAGCTTGAAGCCTTATGTTCCACTCAGAGTGCACAGGAATAAAATCAAATAAATTAATGTTTATGAATTTAAAACCCTTCGGAAGGATCTTTCGGTCTAAGTGTCTACAACCTGGAACAGCAGACAGTAAGCCGTAGAAAACAAGTGCAATAAAGTCACAATAGATGAAGGTAAGCATGAGAAAAAATAACTGAGAAAATATTGATATGGAAGCCTATAATCCATCCCTTTACTGTCTTGTTCTCCTTAAACTCCAGTTATTTCATGCCTAATATCAATTCGAGGCAAAAATTACCTTAAAATCAATAAGAATTTCTCATTTGAGCTATATAGCTCAGAGAACTGAATAAAACCAAATTTCTACACTTGAGTCACACATCATTTAGTAATCTTAAGAGTGGAATACTATTCTCTGTTTTCAAAAGTGTGAGGAATTCAGTATGAGATAGGCGTCCAAATCAAGATATTTCCCCCCTTCACGAATATCTCCGTCATTCAATTCTGCTAACTAATATAGACCGGCGATATAAATGAATAACCGAAAAGAAATTAGCTGAACGGAAACATAAAACTAAATGTTGGGTAGTGGCTAGCAGTGTAATCTAAGATACGCGTTTCGGCCTATTTAGGACTCGTCAGCCAGATGTACCTGCAAATCCAAGAGAGACTAAAACTCAGAACCCATTACTTCAAACACCAAAGCGTTATCCACGGGGCAACTTAGTCCACGAAGGCAGCCACCTATTGTGCAAAGGGTACCAGTTATTACATCAGTTAATTTCGTATTTTCTGTTGCTCAGTTTTAATGAACCGAAATATCCCTTTTATATTAAGGCATCTTTGGTTTGAGTCTTATAATGAATAGAAAGCTTACACTAGCGAAGAAATGTACATTAGAATCAAACACATCGATTCGTTTTTAGTTCTTCTTTCTTCCCCTTAGATTATAACCGTTTGTGATGAAAGTGATTTCACAAATAAACCTAAATCTCTATGACTGTCAAATTTAGATTATATTTAAAATTATCATGGTTTATAAAATGCAAATTATACATTTTATAAATCTGACTTTACCTTGCTTTTTTAAGAAATGTTCCACCAATGAAACCAGAATTTCTTACAGGAGTTTCAAAAATTGATATCATATCATCAGCTAACCAGTAGGATAGAATAAATCGTCTAGATGCATCTTCTGGTCGAACACTATCCTATAAAAATGGAATAATATTAATCAAAATTCAACAGATTATTAAATTTTACTGGAATACTTTGGGAAATTAAAGTACAGCACATTCATAAATGAGAAATTATCCGTTATACCTGGTGTACACAGCTGAGAAAATACAATTACTAATAACTTCTGCCGCTTCATGACATAGAGCGACCATTTCACAATGTCTTTTCCGATGAGCTACTGCCTCATCTTCAACCTGATGTACCCTACTGATCACGGCTTCCCGGTGGGTGTGTACTGCTGAAGAGTCCCAAAATAGGACGAAACAGCTATCCAGTACTCCTAGGTTTTCCAGTAGTTCCCTAACTGATGTCAGCTCATGATGGAATCCTCCATCCAATCAAACAAAAAATCCCTACAAAATCAAAATACTTCAAAATTACCAATAAGTAAGGATGAACGTCTGACTTCTATTCGATTAAGAAGATTATGCTGTAGGTATTATTATTCCATTACCCTTCAAGAATCAGTGGTACTTCACAGTAGTACTTTATGTCCTACTTAAAAGAAGTGAAACAAGTCTCCAAGTGTATCAAAGTTATTTCTTTCATAGCGTTCTTTTCCGTTCATACTTCAAGTGGCTCCAACACCATCTACCTACATATCCACTTTTGAAGAAGGATTAAGCATTAAAATTTTTTCGGATGGTTAGACTAGATTTTGACATCAGCCATAAATTCATCTTGGAGAATGTTCCTCTGTTTGATATGCAGTCAAGAGGACAGATGATTCTGTGAATAGGAACTCTAGGTTATTTGGTCTAAATCTGACAACAGTAACGCAAACGTTCTCATGCTTTATTTTAATTGTGAAACCGTACTTCTTAACATGTCTCATCTTGTATTTCATGGCTTTAAAACACTCTACAATCGTTTGTTAAGTGAGTTTTATTTCTTAACCTCCATTTTTCTCGCCTTCTATTTAATTCATAGAAATGAGTTTAGCAACGGAAGCTGACTCGTTTTGTCCTGAACACAACGAAGCGATCTTCGTGTCCTACTGTATAGTGGGCAGAAACTTCCTTGAGAAATGAACAGTCACTCAATGCTCTAAAGACAGAAAAATGAGGATTATTCGCCGATAAACTTAGGTTGTTCTTTGCATCAAAAACTGGAAATTACCTCAACAGTGTCGTTAAGCAGCTAAATACACTGTGGCGTGAGCTATTGATAATATATATATATATATATATATATATAAAGAGATGTTCATCGACACAAAAGCATCAAAAAGCAGGGAGATAGACTTGATTTCAGGGAAGAAAATGGTTCAGCGCTGCAGCAGAACATGATTGACAAGAAAAGAAGAGAAAAAAAACACAATACGAAGGACAGAAGTAGCACAACACGGAAGATCTGTGTAAATGGTGATTTGAAAATAAGGTGTGGTGCACATGATTTCGCCATACAGAAATACTAAATTCCAAATATACATTCTGTTACCAAGTCTTCTGTATTCTACGGTTACAATATAAGGTAACTTTCCCCGGACAGAACAAGTACCGTAGAACAAAATTAGTTAGCCGAAATTCAACTGTAAAAAAGTACCTTAGAAACATGTAGAATATTGCCAACAAGGTTGGATCGAAAACTCCAACAGTTAAGAATCACATGCCAACAATTCCCACAAACAGTTCAATGTCAGGATAACCTTGATTCACTCAAATAAAATCATTTCATAAGACACATTATTAATGTACCGTACAAGCCCAAAGTGAAGCATTAAAATTAAAGATTGAAGAGGAACAAAGACAAGTAATAAGGATCAAGTCTGTAAGTAATATCCAAACGTCAAAAAAATGACATACATATAGTCTAAGAGAAAAAGAGATGATAATTACAAAGTTAGTTGACACATCCAAATAAGTAGCAATATTATAATTGGGTCGCTCAGGTGGGGATTTTAAAAACAATTTTCCATTACAATGACGTAGGGTAAATCGACTCACTGAGCCATATTGTTGTAGACTAAAAAGTTATTAATTGGTTACAGGATTTCATCATGAGCTGACATTGGTTAGAGAACCATTGGAAAACCTAGGAGTACTGGGCAGCTGTTTCTTCCTAGCTTGGGACTCTCCATCAGTAAGCATCCACTGGGGCTTTGAACCTAGGACCTTCTGGTTACAAGGCGAGCTCGCAGACCTTTAAGCCACTGGGGCCCGATCCAATGGCCCATTACGAGCTCGCCTTGTAACCACAAGGTCCTGGGTACGAGCCCTGGGGGTGCGTATTGCTGAAGAGTCCCAAACTAGGGCGAAACAGCTGTCTAGTGCTCCCTGCAGTTTTTCCAATGAATCAAATCCCTAAAAATCAATACTTGAATAAAAATTTATTAATGTTCGGCAGTATTTAACCTTATGAATAACCTTGGATGTGTTTAATAGATTTAAGGTTGAAGTAAAACCTTAAATTGGCACGTGACACCAGGTAACTACTCATTTAGATACCGGTCATCATCGCTTTACAACATGATTAATTTTCCAAATCGAGACTATTCCCAAAGGTCCAACTGACAAAAATATATTAATTTTGTGACCTGACATTCATAAGTGTTTTGCAATGGATGATGCTGGATTTCTATTCAGATTAATCGCATATATTAGCTCTGAAGTTAAATAGTGTCCTGTGAAGTCATTCCCTAAATATTTGTCTGAAGTGAAATCTTCACATACATATTACAGTGTATAGACATAGCATCAAATTACACATTTTTATAAAGAAAATATTTAAATAGCCATATTTATTTTATATCGCATAAAAACGTTATCATACTTATTGTAAACATAATCTGTAGGTGTTCTCAAACGTACCGCATGGCTTGCATTTACTGTAGAGTATATAAAAGATCAACCACTAAATAATAATAAGTTGAGGCATACAGTTCATGGTAAAGAGAGGTGGTTAGGACATCTGTTAGTTGTGCAGAGCAAGCACCTTCCTCAGATAGTAATTTTATTTGGAATATGATTATATGGGTAAACAGTTCGACGTGACAATATAAAAGATGGCACTAATTCCTCATATTGTTGACTATTAGTGCGAGGCGTTTTTGGGAGATTTAAAATAATGTCTTGCTGGAGTCTCCAGGACTTTAAGAGTCACACCCTGGAAATCCTTACGTTAAAAACAGTGCAAAGTCGTTCACAACAGCGTATATATTCATCAACTTCTTCACGACAGCACCCGAATTCTGAAAATCTCCTCTGATATTCTTCTGATTACAACTTTATTTCCTATACATCTTCGTTTATTATACTTTGATTACATTTTCTCCCTACTTTTATGTCTGCCATTGGACTAACCCCGCTTTATTGACAATTTAATGACTCCAGCTACTCTTTTATTTGTTTGTAATTTTTATTTAGGTTTCTGTGTCATTATATCGTTCACACCTGATGTGGTGCATTACTTTAATAATATACTAGGTTTAGTAATATCATTGAAGTATTTGACCTTAACGGTTTCCTTACAACACGTATCTAAACTGCATAGTGCATGGAGTAATTATAAGCTGTCCCTGTGTTTTGTAATTCATCCACGAAGCTTAGCACACATACATGCCTCGCCTAAGATCAGATGTCTCCTATATCACAGGTTTTTATCACTAGCTGACATCAATTAAAGAACCACTGAAGAACCAGAGAATACTGCACAGCTATTTCGTCCTTGTTTGGGACTCTTCACATTAGTACACATCTACCGGTGTCCGAACACAGGACCTTCCAGGTGAAAAGCAAACTCATAGAGCATTCAGTCACTGGGATCCAGTCCAATAGACGATGAATTGAAACTTAGTAGTCATAAGTAAGCACCACAGAAGGTCACTTCAGTTGATGTGAAATTGGATTCTGAAAACCAACTTATACATTTCGGCAACTTTATCTCATCTGCAGAAATGTAATGACTACCTACATATTTTAGTAATCGAAAATTCAGATCAATGTTTCATAGAGTTAATTTTTATTTTTTTTCCTGCATGTTTTAAAGTATGCTAATATGTTAGTTAGTTCTATTTCATAATCAATAAAAATGAGGTAACTAGTATTGCGTTCATTTGAAAAAAAAATAAAAACTAATATTCTATAACCCGCATTCTAGTGTATAACGTATCAATTTCCACTTTTTTTTCTTACTTTACTTTTGTTTTTGTATTATTCGGTTAAGTGCATAAATACATATACAATGATGACAAAAGTTATCATTGATCATTTAATTTCGTGTGTAGATTGTCTTAGTTTAAACAAAATAATCGTCTGATATGTAATCTTTGAAGAAATAAATAAATATTGTAATGATTGATAATTAATATATTACAATTTCACATTGATTTGATGATATCAGATGGTTACAGGCAATCGGCAGGAAGCCTTGGACTTAGGTTTCGTGCTAGTTGGCACTCACCAGTCGGTAAGGCGTATCTGCAATTTCAAAGGGACTCATGTCCCTTACTAGTTACTAGTGTCCACTTTTGTTTTAATTGTCTAATTTATTGATGACCTTATAATGGGATTCTTATATGAATATTGTTACCATGTGGTTCATTTATTATATTTCTCTCCAATAACTAAGATAATAAATTCTGAAGTGATAAAAATATGAGGAAACTTGTTCATTTTCTATCTTCAAATTTGATGCAAAGGTATCTACTATCAATATCTACCTACTTCCACGACAAACACTATTAGTTGACACATGATTAGATTGGAAAAGAGTTAGGGATAGTCAAATAAAAAAAACTTTGGCATCAATTCATGAAGTCTTTGAGAGAAGTAGGGGGTGTAGATTGTCTGGTTGGAGCCCTAGTGTTGCTAAGATGCGATGGCTGTAGACTGTCAGTGATGTGACTCAAAATCTTTCTAAATGGTGCAAGCGCATTCACTCTTTGTGATTTCTCACAACCATTTGGCCCTTTTGTTTTTTTCATGTCACTGGGTAATGCAGGTACATCCAGATGACAAGTCCCAAATACGACGAAATGCGCATCCTGAATCCCACTGTTAGTCACCATCCACCAATTAACTGTTATTTCTTCCCCACATTTCTGCCAATTGTAGCTCTTCTGAATCCCTTTTTACTCTCTTTTCCCTACCTTTATGTGCTACATGGATTGTAGCGTCCTGGACTGTTGCATTTCTATGCAAAGTCATATGTTGAAACTCTGTTGGTCAGTCAGCACCTGTTGAGTTGTTTGTAGATAGATTTTATACATATTGCCACCATAAAAGCTACTATTGAGCGTAATTAATCAAGTTGTTCTACCTTCCTATATCTGTAAAATCATGTAGAATGGGATAAGATGTAGTGTGAAACACAGACACTTAAATACTAGAACGTAGATGGACAGAATAACACATAAAGAAAAGCCTTCAAACGAACATTTGTCATCTCAATTTATAGCAGCCTGAAAGAGAATAAAATAGTATGTCAGCCTTTCTCACGAATCGTGTGATGAATCATGTGATGGAGTTATTATGTGAATGTATCATTTCTAAAGCATATTGTGATTTAGTGTGTGTGACCATTTCATCTTTTTTGTCTCACCTCCATCTTTGTCTCATCACTAACCTGTCAGTATAGATAATTCCAACGATAAGAACAACACATTCGCACGGTCATGAGCCGACTGTATTATGGTCAAGAAAATGTATTAGTACCATGTGTTGTTTTTTAAACTATGTAGTACAGTATAAATACAGTATCTTACAGTCACAGGCGAGGCTTTGTCTTTTGACATTTGCATGGCCCAGTGAATCGGAAGGCATAACGGACAAATAGACGTATTAGCGTACTGGTCCAGTTCATTACCGTTATAGTAATTAACAGGCGCAGATATAGCAAAATAGCAACAGACTGTTCAGATCAGTTCAGTTATAACAAATTAGCAACGGAGTTATAACACTTAGACGATATATTCTAACGATAGAAGACGAAAGACCTGGTAGAGGAATGTTGGTATCTCTGTATAGTGAAATTTTGTAAATCTTATCTGAAAATCGTCATTTGCACAGATCTTCCGTGTTGTGCTACTTCTGCTCTTCATTTGGTATTTCTTTGCGTTCGTTTCATGTCTCCACAGTATCTCCGCAAAGCTGAATCATTTACTTTCTCTGACATCAAAGCTATCTCCCTGCTATTTGATATCTTTATTTCTATGATCATGTCCTTACAAATATATATATATCCCCATATCATGAATTAAAAGTCAATCTGAATGAAGAATATTCTATTCAATAATTTCCCCTCTTCAGGTTCTAACAATTATTAAATATAATATTTGTTGGCCTTACAATAATGACCAGTTATGCGGAGGATACATTTTTTAACGTAGGATAACAGATTAGTTATGGGGTGTTAAAATAAATAGTCATATTTGAGTGACAAACGTGCTAGACTTAAATCGATCACAAAATATTGTAAAATGGGAGACAATGGTGGTGATGAGTCATAATAGACATGTAGAGTGTGGGGTAGGAAAATTGACAAGTTAGTTCAAGGTTATAAAAGGTGTCAAGTGAGTGGCTAGTACAAAGTAGTCTGTATTAAACAGGAGATAGTAAGACTGTAATGAAGGGTTCATAATGAAATAACGAATGTGTGAAATGAAACAGGTGGAGGCATATATTGAGAAAAGAGATAATATCACTAATAATAAGTCCGGATAGTATAAATGGAAAATTCGATAGTATTGAGAGGATGTTTGCATGAAGGGCATAAATTACGACGAACAATAATAATAGTTCTAATAATAAGCAAAAGAAAAAAACCAAGAGGGTTAGGGGAAGAAGCACTCTTGGTGAGAAGAAGAATCATTGATATGATAGAGAAGATTTGCAGCTCAGGTGGGTGATTTTGATGAGGTTGTGTTCTCTGAGCTGGATAGTTAATTTGCGAAGCTTTCATCGCCCTACTAGGCGACATCTTCAGCGGATACTTCAATTTGAAGTGAGTTAGATTTCTCCACGAGTTTATTAATCATCTCTCCTGGTGGCCTTGGACGTGATTGGTGGTTTTTGTGTGTTTTCACACCTTCTAGGTTGCTTGTATTGGAACTGATTGCTTCCTTGACTTGAACTTTGACGCTTTGTGTGTGAAGTTTCTTTCTTATTGGTTGATAAATTTTGTCTATCTCGATTTGTCTATTGATTGATGATTCACTGGAATGCCAAGCTTCTAAAAATTCTCTAGTATTCTTGTTGTTTCGTCTGTCTAATATTTGAACGTTGTCCCAGTCGAATTGATGTCCGTGGTTGTCTGTGTGTAGTGATATGAGGGAGTGGATATCACTAAACACAGACAACCACGGACATCAATTCGACTGTTGTGGAATTGATTAAAAATCGTTTATCTAAATGTATTAAACGCACTTTTCCTGCAGCTGACTTGCAACTAGTTTTTACCAACCGAAATATGATTAGACAATACGTCAAGGATAGATTACCGCTTTTGTCCACATCCATGTGCATTTACTCTTTTACCTGCTCTTGTCGAGCCGATTATATTGGACGTTGTAAGCAAAATCTCCGAAAATGTGTAGCTGAACACTCTCCAGTTTGGTTAATGAAAGGCGAACGTAGAACTGCGAAGTCGTCTATTTGTGATCACCTGTTAGATTCTGGTCATTCAGCCCCACGTGATTCTTCCTTCACGGTTATCTACATGGCAAAATCGAATCGCTCCAAGAGTTTACGTTTTCTTCACCTATGCATAGCCGAAGCTTTAGATATACATGAACAGAAACCTAAATTACGTGTTCAAAAACGTTTTGTCAAACCCCTTTCTTTACCTTGGTCATAGTAATATTTAGAACAACACATTTAAGCGAACAATATTGTTTTCAATTAGATCTCATCAGGCTTAACTCTAATATAGATAAGTTTACAAATAAAAATAGTAATATTATTTCTAGTTTTATTTTATTTTACCACTTGAATTCTTTCCACTTCACTTCACATCTTCATTCTTATAGTAATCGTACTCCTCATTTTTAAAATTTTTTAGACAACACTTGACATTTTCGGAACATTTTTGATATCAATTCACTTATAAAACAATCTTTAATAATTCTGTAATTTATCCACTTCAACTCTACCCCTTATAACATTTTAATTATCGCTATTCTTATCACATATATATGTATATTGACTGAGCAATTATTTAGTGCCACTTAATAACCTTTTTCTGTAGTATACATACGACTGACTGCACAGCTTGAAAATGAAGTCGTTGAAAAGAAATTTCTTCTCTGAACAAAAATTTTTTCAGAATCTGAAAAATGATAAGGAATATATATATATATATATATATATGTATATATCAAAGTCCATCATTCTTCCTTCTATGGTCCAAATCAGCAGCTAATGAATTCGTGGACTAATGTAATATTTGAATCTGTTCCCCTGGAAATGTTTTTCAACTTAATTCTACTTCAACTCAAATTAGTCAGAGAAGAGTAAGCTGGATGTACAGCTCTTGGCTCTGAAAAGCTTAACAAATAGGAGACTTTTGTCCAGAGGTCACTGTTTACTTTACAATAAAGTATACATATAAAAAATAAATGCGAATATAAAACATATGCTACTTACCAAGCGGGTTTCATATCTTAAAACTTTTTGTGCATAATCGACTTGTTTAGCAAAATCAGCTTTTGGAGGTTTTAGTATAAACGATTTTGTTGAAGATAAACTGTCTTCAATTGTACCATATCCGGTAAATGGTGGAATTTCCTGTTTTAGAATGTTTTGTATTCAGAAGAAAAGAAAATGTTACATTGAAACTAATGTGTGCATATAAAGTCATCAGTCTTTCCAAATTTTCATTTTTGCATTTAGAAAAATAACAAAAGACTGAGAGAAGAAATATAGTCCTATCCAATTAGCTCCTCAGCATCTCCTGGCTCTACACTATTATATAGTTTTTTACATCCAAATCTTACCAATCAAGTGGTTATTTTAGTTGCTCAGTTTTAAGCATAAAGGTGGGGGGTGGGTGGGTGGGTGAAATTAAGAGGTTAAAAGTCATCAAAACAATTAGCCAATAGATGTTAGTAACAAGATATCTAAGTTTTTAAAGAGGGCGTGGAAATTAATCACGGAACTCAAGATAAGTTAATTCGTATGCATTAGCAATAAGTTATTACATAATCAAGGAATTTGTAAAATAGCAATGATGACCAAGAAGAATAGGATGACTCAGAAGAGTTACGTAAAATACAAACAAGTTAATAGAATTAGCTAGAATTGTAAAAATTAACAAAGTTAAAAGATAGGTAGTTACAACGGGAGAGGAGAAAATCGTTTTTAAAAAACTTAATACATATTATATAGTTGGCTATGGCAAAGAAAGGGCTGTATACATTTCTTTTGAACACATATATTTGGCTTGTTCAGATGAATTCCGAATACCTCTTCTGAATGTAAAAGCCATACTCGTAGACCATGAGAGAGGTTGAGTGATATACGATAAAAAACTTCAGAAGCTTTGTTAGAGTCGACTAGATGTCCATTATCGACGTAATGAGCTAGTATTGAGCTGTGTACAGCGTTATTAAGCTATTTGGCAAATCCAGATAGAAGGTGTTCAGAAATTCTACAATGAACTTGTCTGATCGTCCACCCTATGTAACTATCTCCTCACGGGCAGTTAAAATGGTAAATACACAAGGAAGAGACGAAACAGGGCAGTCTGTCTTTATTTCTTGAACTAACTATTGGTCGGTTGGTGAATACACAGCATAGCTTAGCTGCGTTGAAAGTCTTTTTGAAAGCCCTTCGCAGACGTTGTGATAAGATCTCATTATTGGGATCACCCGTGAATTGTAATCTTAGGAAGACTGATTCTCTGGGAACAGCGGGTACATTTGACTTTTTAATTTCTGAATTCATGTGTTTGTTCAAGAATTTAACCTAATATACGTTTCTATTAAGTAGATAAGGAATATTACTGAGTTCTTCGTTCATCAGTGTCTCGTTTGAACACACATCTAACCAGATTACATATGTATTGTAGAGACACGAAACTCAGAAAGTAAGTATATCGTCCAGCTGGAGAACGTTTCCATCACAAACATCTGTATATATTGTTCCGTCCGTTCGCCTAGTCATTAGGACGTCCAAAAAGCAGATAAAGTCATTTTCTTCCTCTTATTTACTGACGCTTATGCCAGGATGGGCTTTACTAAATTTCTCCAGTATATCCTTAGTCTCACTTTCTATCTTCACAACTATAAATTTGTCATAGACATATAGGCAATAGAAATCAAGATTATATACTACATATTTAAGAGGACCGTTTTCTAGTTTCACCAGGAAAACATCCGCTAGAATTGGGGCCAGTGGTAATCCCATGATCAGCCTTTGTTGACATAAGAACTTTTAAAATGAAAACGTCAGTTATGCCTGTGGTTGTGATTCGATGTTACTGGGATTTTGGTGGTCAATAGTGAAAACTATGAGTCCCTTACTTAATGTTTGAAATTTACCAGAAGCTCCAGTGTTTGAGGCTACAAGTGTTGGGTTCTAGTCACATTGGAAACACCAGCATTCATTGTAACATTCACCTGACAGGTAGAAGGGGAACGAAATGCGCAACTTGAATCTTGATTCAAACCAACGCACATCAAATGACATCAAACAGGTTTGGAACTAACGTCTTTTGTATGGTGAGAAAATGAATAGACGTTAATAACATATTTGATGCAAAATCTAAACAAAATTATCGCATTTAAGGACATTCTGAAAATTGTCCTCATAAATGATCATCTACAGATACCAAACTTCTGAGTTAAATGAAACAAGGAAGATATTCTGGCTTATTTGAGGGCGGTAATTGTGGATGTCACCCAATCACATAGCTTAGTGGAAGGATTTTCCAGTAGTAACTACGCGAAACCTCTGCCGAATTAATGGAACCAGGAACCAAGTTATCACGTTGTACGAATACAGTGATATGATTATGAGTTATAAGTTTGGCTCGAAAAATCCTCAAATTATTCATAACTGTATTTCTGTGTGCCATATCCAATAAACTTATCCAATATAAAATAATAAATCTGTCCCTATGTAAACTGTTAATGTTCCGTAATCTTAACGGAAATGGATATAACATTGCAATATTCTAGAGAGACTACTGTAGTTTATGTAAGTGATTCCATACAGTTGTTGATTGATGAGTAAGAATAGAACCATTGTCTGTCAGTTAGACGGCTAAGGATCATTCGTTATCATGAAAGCTCTGGAAATCACTACTGTTTGTTCTATTGATCTTTCTTTAAAAGAATGATTAGTGAGCATAGAATATTCTTTTCAGTAACTTCATCGTTATTACTTCTTGTTATGTGTTAACAAGAAGCTTCTGTATATGAGACTAAAATTCAGGGGTGATGTACGAGGTGAAATAATAACCAGTAAGCTGAGAAAACTGATTCGAAGGATTTATAATGCTGCTAGGCTGTAACTCATATTTTCCACGCCACCGGTTGTGATTTTTCAAGTGAAGGACAAATTACACAGACTAGCCACTTCTTCTTATATCTGTCAGTTTAACTGCTACTGTAGGTCCAATTATATACTGGCCGTTGCTCTAGGAAATTAGTTTTTCGTGCTTAAGAACACCTACCAACGTGGCTAAATAAATGTGTAGTTCTATATTAGACCACTTGGTCTAAACAGGCAGTAAAGCTAATAAAGTATAATAATATTTCAGTTATTTACACACAATGATAAGTTTTGTTATTGGTAATATTTCGAGCAAAATTACTGCCCGTGTTCACACCACTATTGGAATTGTTTTATTCGAAATATTACCAATAACAAAACTAATCTTTGTGTGTAAATAACTGATATATAATTATACTTTATTTGATCTAATCCACAATACTCAAACTTTTTACTGATAGTAAAGCTAATATTGAACAATCTTTTCCTGTCACCTATCAGATACCAAATACACTGCCAAGAGCCTCTAGGTACTCAATGCTTCAAACAACACAAGCCATTGCAACTCACTTAAAATAGCTGGTACTCTATCCTGAACTGCTGTGGCATCTATCACTTCATATATTCTGTATTACTTTTCCTTATTTACCTGATATTCAGTTAAGCGTTATATTGATGCATAGTATCATTTGCATAATCTGTTCATACTACTGATTCGATATTAATTAAGACTTTAAAGTAGTTAACCAATATAATTCTTTAATTATTATGCGCATACAACTGTAGAACCCGATGAATAAGTTATCGAAAAGAATAATCGTTATTTATTGACCTCTTTTCCAAACATTTTCCTAGATTGTAGTTCATTTCGGATTTGCTTCCTGGATAATTTCATTGAATCCTGGCGAGAACATCAATACTTTCTTATCTGTTAGCCTCACCGTATTGTATAATACTTTTCAGACCTTTAACCTATTTTTAAGGCACAATTATTTGTTGAGTATTTCTATGTATATATTAATGTAACAGTACTAAATTTATCACTTACAAACTACACATAACTTCCTTTTAGAAGCCCAAAAATATGCGATCTAAATAATACCATAGACGACAGTTAAGAAAGCAAATAAAATACTATGATGGTACATACTATACACCACTGATCGAGATAGTCCTAAGAATAAATCGGCTATGAAGTGTTTAGATCACTCCTACCTGGCTTGTAAGCACTTCCGTTTAATATGAGTGGTTTCCGATTGCTCGTATACACTTAGTCTCATGAACCATCACACCAACGAGATCAGTCACAACAGAAAGTTGACTAGAATTACACGAGTATAAAACGTGAAATTTATGCAATTGTTGATTATAAGACGAATATAGAATATTATAAGAATGAAATTAAACATATTCTTCGACATCTAAGAGACCCTAATGATGCTATTAAGCTGAACATACATAAGAATATCAGTATTCCGTTATACACTACTTACTAGTGGTTAAGTAGTATGTGAAGACGTCAGTATTTTGAATTTTCACTACACGAAAATGGAAATTTCTTCATTCTTTTCCATTTTTATACTTTTATTTTTTATGCTTAGTTTATTTTTCAGGAAGGAAATACTTCCAATCTTCAGACATATGCAATGTAATTTCTAGGGTTTTTAAAAAAAATTCTGTTGTTAAGCAACGTGAAAGGTGATTTCCTTTTTTATAACTATAGCAGAAACAGAATTCTTCAAGAACTAACTAAAACACTTAAGTATAACAAGGCATCTCAAGCCACAATAAAACTGAATTGATAGCAATTGTGAGATTAATACCAACTAATAAGGGTTTTCTTTTCATAAATCCGTAACTCTACAGAAATACACCCATGAAATTGTGGGCGGTATACGGATATATATGTGGTAACATTATTTTAATCTTGTGGCAGTCTGTATTTAGAAAAGATGGTGAATAATACAGATGTAATTGAGTGTTTTAATCTGAGTGGTTTAACTGAGAGGCGTTACTTGTCTAGACAGCACCTCCAGCTCTAACCACGTTTTGAAGTTAGCTTTATGAATAAACAGAGATCACGTCCATTAGATTGCCTTAAATGAGTAATAACTGATGGCCTCTGGACAGCAGGTGGCTCTCTTGACCTAAGTGGTCCAATGGAAATTGCTTTGTCGTTTGAAACGATGGTTACTCGGATCGAGTCTTAGGAGGGACGCTATCACCTACTGTGGATCGAAAGTACATGCAGTTGATGGGTCACAAATAGGATGAAGTGTGCAACATGGATCCCACTACTAGTCACCATCCGCCAAATTACTTCAAGTTAGTCCTCGGACACTTTGAAGCGTCCGTACTAGGAGTTGACATATCAACATAGGCTGAATATTTCGGTCGAATCAGCCAATGGGAAAATCAAAAATTCCTTTAATCAAATACTGTATCACCATAATATTTATCATATTAATATATGTATTACAAAATTCATAACTTTTGGATGTCTTTGAAAAACTCATCTGCGTTCCTAATGAAACGTTAGCCTTAAGACTTGAGCTTTGAGGTTTGAGTAGCATTGGTGTTAATTTTACTCGGTTCAGTTGCTCAAGTGTTTGTTCAACCTTCTCTCTTTACCGGAATCACTACCGGTTAAGCGAGATTTAGGAGTGTTTCGTCTGAAAATAGAACCCAGGCCACATCATAAATGGAAAGCATTCTACTCTTGAGCCGCCAACGAAATCTCTTTATTTATTACATTTAATTTCATTCATTTAACTTTCCTGTAGTTCAGCGTCTTCGTGTTCACAAGTGACTGACAGTACTATCCTGTGGGTGTGGTCAGTGATACCGTTTCCCCTATATGCCACTCCATAACTGAACACATTTATACATCATCGTGATTACTCCACCACACAAATGATTAGATTTAAATAAGATGAAAAACATTTCGTGAAATTCCAATGGTGGTATCATAACCAAACATTTAAGTACTGATTTAAGCTTATTTACATGTTTATAGGTTATTATTGCTTTCTGAGTGGAATATTTAGGCCTCAGCAGCAAATCTCTACTGTATTCTGTCCTCTGAAATCTCTTTCAGGTGGCTCAACGACTATTCAAAACCTTTTATTTCCTCCTCAGAGGATCTCCTCCAAGGTAAAGTTGGACACTCAACTCGTCTTTTCCCATTCACTTTTCACTAAACAGCTTGCTTAGCGTGTGATTTCACTTTGAGATTTCGTCAGTGTATCTCCAACCCATTTCCCCCAGCATATTTGTGGAGTATCAGGTTATTGGTTGGTATTTAGTGCATACGAGGACATATATATATATAGGTACATAATAATTTGCGAAACTTACTTTTTTCGGTATTTCTGGTTGTTTAATTTCTACATCCAAAGGAGTAAAATCTGTCAGTCCAAAATTATTATGATACCAGGCTTTTGTAAAGCTATCACAGTCATAGATTAAATATTTTCGTCCAAGTATATTCACTGACTGGCCAATACGAAAATCTCTCGGTGAAAAATATTCTTTAACTTCATTTTCTAGAAGACAAGAAATCAATAATAAGTTTCATAATGATGGTTTGTTTTAGCGCGAAGATTTAATTTATGCAGGAATTCAAACAAAAATAAAAGTTTGAGGGCTATAATACTTATACCGGTTAGGTTGACAAAATAACATCACAGAAAGAAAAGTCCTTCATGACCCACTTATAGAGTACACGATATATCCACCTGCTTATCCAAAGTAGGTTGTACAGTACCGTGGCAATCTCTATCATACTTTAAACTACGGATTATGTGTCTTAATGGTCGGAAGCTTGTGAAAGCTTCAACTAACTGGCTCTTATCACTGTCATATTATTATTAGTGTTTGGTGAAGTCAACAGGCGAGGAATATAAATGTTTGCCACTAGAGACCTTAGTAAAATGGGTGAGTCATTCGTAGGTATCACAAGTTGACATTGCCTGAGTGTCTCAGATACTTGTAACAAATATATACTTGATGGAAGCCAATCTTTTTCAGTGTTAACTTATTTCAGCCAGTGTTGCTAGGTAAGTGTAGCTATAATTGGTGGAATACAGTACAATTCCAAACAACCTCAGCTGATGTTTGCTCGCAACCTCATCGATTAACTTCCTTTCCGTTTGTTTTTGCTTTCACTCTAAAGGCAGCTGTAGTTACGAGTGATACCACAGAAACATCTATGATGGAAGGTCTTTAACCTCCCGATTTTTGTCAAGCTCAGTAAACATGTCTTACAGTTTACATGTAATCTCTATTCTAGCTTAACTACACTATACCACAAACACTGAATATTATGGTAAGAGAATCAATATTTTAAATAACAAATAAAGATAACATGAACATCACTGTTTGCTTACCTGTTATCTCCATACTTATACTTGGAAAGTATGGAGGTATATCATCCCGACTCTTTGGTATCCTTTCACGTCTTAACAATAATGGGAAGGGATCACGACCATCATTCAGTGTATGAACCTCACGTATCTCCAGTGTATCATCAGCTAAATAGTACTGATGAATGTTTTTTTAAATATATTTCATTTGTTGGTATTTTGAAAAAAAACAGAGAAAAACAGCATTAATTGTATTTGAACTGAAAAAAAACTGGACATTTTTACCACTGTTTTCTAGTCTGAGATTTTAACGTGCGCAAGTAAATCTTAGAATATAGTAATCAATTGTTGGTTTGTGGGGATTTGATTGGTTTCAGGATTTCATCATGAGCTGACATTAGTTAGAGAACCATTGGAAAACCTGGGAGTACTGGACAGCTGTTTCGTCCTAGTTTGGCACTCTTCAGCAGTACGCACCCACCGGGATTCGAGTTTCATATGAAAAAAAATTCTCTTGGCTCTACACACGAATTCATCCGAAGTTCTAGCGAGAAGTAGTGACTAGCGGAGCCCAACAGGTCAGGTAAGAGAACAGATAGTAAACTATGACAATGACTGGCGATTGCGCAGATTGGTAGAAGTTGGAACTCACCGGCTACTGGATCGGTCCCAGTTGCCGAATGGTCTACCAGTTCGCCTTCTAACTGAGAGGTTGGGGTTTTGAACCCTATCCAGTGCTTATTGCTGAAGAATTAGAAGCCATAACGGAACTGCTAACCAGTACTACTGGTTTTCCAATGTATCTTTAACTCTTGTCAGCTCTTAATCAAATCTGTAACCAATCAAATACTAGCAAACCAACAATTAATAAATTTTAAATATTATTAGAAACTAGTTTTGACAGATATACCTTAAAATTAAATGTGTAAGGAAATTGGAAATCTGTAGGTATTTCTGTAATTTATATGTTATTTTTTCAGTGCACAATTCCCTAGTAGCTTGCGTATTGGATATATCAAACCGTCAACAGTATTACTTATTAGATGATGTTTCGAAAATAGTTTATTGTTTTTAGTTACATCAAGTGTAACTGCATAACTTCGAAACTTGATCTCTTTAGTTCTCTTTCTTCCTTCTCAAATGTCGTGGAGGTAGGAGAATTATCCAGATGTCTGGAACAGGCGTTAAACCATCCCTGTTAGATATATTCTCAGTTTATTCGATGGATAACTATCCCCTACAGTCCTACAGGAGGTCAATCGAAAGCCCGAATAGCTCAGTGGTAACGTCTCTGATTGCAGCACTGGGTGACGCAGGTTAGAGTCTCAGAAGGGAAATGAGTTCCTCCAAGGTTGCAGATACGCCTTGCTGACGAGTGCCAACTAGCACGAAACCTAGATCGAAGGCTTTCTGCAGACTGCCTCCAACCATCTAATAAAGCTTCTGTTATCAATTTATGCCTTCACTCTATTATGTCAGATTTTAAGATTGTCATCTTGTTCCATCTTATTTTATAGTTGCATCTAACGGTGTACAGTGTTACAGCTGAGCTATATTCCTGATTTTTTAAAAACCTTCTTAGGGTCAACTAATCTAGATTTCTCTCCACTAATCTAATTGATTCCTTACCACCATTTCGGCCTTTGTATTCGACATCTGAATCACTGGTATATTAGATAAATTAAATTATTTTGTTTGGTGAATTTCATATAATCCTACAACCGACATAATTTGTATCTAAGTGAGTTTTTGAGTTTGAATACCGCCGTCATTCGTCCCTTTTGTTGAGAATTCTTCTATGCAGAGCCTAAACTACTCGACTCGCTATAAAGCATATCAAAGTATTACAAGTTATTTGTGAGTTCACAGTTGCTCCTGTCTTCGAAACACATCATTTTCCATTTAATCCAGAATAAAATAACAGTAACTTTAAGTTTTCTCACAAAAACACAAACAAAAATACCTACATGTATGATAAATTTACGACAGTCACCAAACATTTCATGTCGTTCATCTTGAACAGCGAAAAATCGTAGGACTTTACGATCCAATTCAAGATATTGTCGTCGTTTATCAAATGATGAAGGTGTTTTGCCAACAGCTATTGCCTCACGTTTTGCTCTTTCAGCTAAATATGGATCAATTGGTTCAGGTTCTGGTTGATTGACTACAACACCTTCACTTTCTAAGAAATCCTGTTCAATGGAAATTCAATGATCACAGAAAATAAATAAAACACGAGGGGCTATAGCTATGATTTCGATTAAATCCTAGTGATCATTTAATATGCTCATTAGAATTCTACAGGAAACCAGCCAAGTGTCCAAATAGATCAGTGATAGGGTCATTAACTGGACGAAACGGGTTCTAATCTCAGAGAGGACACAACTATCTTCGAGATTGCCGATACATCCTGCTGATGGGTGCCTATAAGCATAAAACTTAGTTTCAGGACTTCCTACAGAATACTTCCAGTCATCGAACACCAATTTGAATTTTTTCTGTGGCTGCGCACTTTGAGCTGAGTCCAGAAGTCAGGAGATAGTGAACTATTGTTATGTTGCTGCTGCTGAGTAGTTAATAGTAGTTTTCCCCGTCGCCAAATTGTTATGTACTCGTCGCCAAGTTATTGCTATGTACTGGTCGAGAACTTAATAGTCCTGACGCAAGAAGGCGGAAATCAGAAGACCACTAGGTTTGCGATGATACTTCTATTTTCCAAACACCAGGAGAAGCAATAAGTGGTATCACACCAAAGTAAGTAAAGTAACACAAATTGTGAGAGCGAAATATATATGACCATCCAGACAAGTGTGTGAACAAATCAATAGACAGTCTTAACATGAATGGCTAATTATAATGGAGTGTCGATCCAAATATACATAGCAAAATATAGCAGACATGTCAACAACCACCATATATGGATATATGTCACCAAGCAACGGACTGTCAACAAACACTCATATTATATATAATATAAGGGGAATATGCATTGTTAAAGGAGACAGGTTCATCAAAGTGAAGTAGTCACAGACTAAGCGAGCAAACAGAAAGAGAGATCACCATACACACATATATATATATATATATATATATATATATATATATATATATATATATATATATATATATATGGATACATATCAACCATGCAAACAAATTCTCCAAATCCGACGTTTAGGAGAGATAATTTAATATTATGATTTACCATACTTGGAAAGAGAAACTTAGTGGAAGAATAGTGGAATGCCTCCCACAAGACCCGGTAATCATGGACCTAATCATGAAGGCCTAGTGCTGAAAAGTCTCAAACAAGTATAAAACGGCCACACAACACCCCTAATCTTATAGAAATGTATCATATAGACGGCTTGGTATCTGCATAATCTTCACGAGGTTCTATCTGTATGTCAAAAAAGATGACACTTGAAGAGTCAGTGGCTTGTAGTTACTAGTTTTATTTAATTGCATACGTCTCTATTTCAGGTCAACTCTTGCATTGATGATAAGTATCTGTTATTTTTGCCCTCTGATGTTAAACAGAAACCTTCCACACGTCAACAGTGAGGTGCTGAAAACAACCACATATCAGATGTAAGAATTAGGACTTGGCAGCTTGTAATTAATTAGCGGAACACTTACAGTCCATTTTTCTAAAAACATTGTAGAACCTAAAGTGAGTTTCTGCATCGAGCTTACACGACTTGAGTTGTAATAGAGGACCAGGGAGATCTGGAAGATTATCCAATAATCCCTAAGTACTGAACAGCTTAACATATGATTAACCCTTCCTATGCTTTTCTGAGATGGGAGTTACTGCTAGATAGCCTAGACAATTAAAAGATAACATCTATGCATACCCGTGAAAAGGACGTTTTTGAACATATTACAAAACTACAACAAACCTTTGTAAACTTATCACAGTTTGTTATGCGATAAACTCGACCATATATGGGTAGACTTATACCCAAATTAAGATCACGCCAATTGTAACAGTCACCGACATCATTCTTTGGGATTCTGTGTCTGCGAACAAGTTTACCTAAAGTGGATAGTATGAAGTAACTTTATTGAGGTTTTCAAACTTTTATTGATTTCATTATATTTTTTTTAATAACTGAAAATCGCAAAATTATTCGACCTGTTTATCCATTTAGAGGATTCTAGTTATTGAGAAACGTGAAGCTAACCAACAAGCATTCTTGTATAATAAAGCTTTTTTGCAAAACGTCATAAGTGCTTTGAACAATCGCTCTACTTGTTTGCTTTGGTTTCTGTCGACAGTTAAATTATGAACTACATGGTGATTAGAATCGAGTCACAGAAACATTTGAAGTAGGCCGAAGTTGATTTTAGGTGAATTTATAATAGTCACAAAATTTCATACACTTACAAGCAAGAATAAAACAAGATATTAAAAGTCATTCATTTGTTTTAAAACTTTAAAAATATTGCCCACTAGCTGTATAACCCTTAAATCCTTCAATCCACAGCGTGTAAAAATACTTTAGACATGAATCCATTACTATCTATCTAATGAGTCTTATTCACGGACAGTAAGACAAACAACTAGATCTTTTACCAGGAAGCCACTTCTGAATCATACCATAAAAATAACCAAGAATGCTGAAAGAGACGTACAGATACTTTCTAAATACTTTGGAAGAGATAAGCATTTTAAATGACAGTGAGAATGACTGAATTCTTGTGGACAAATGGCCATAAAAATTTTTTACTTTGCAGTAGGGTGATAATTAATAAAACCGAAAATGTGCGGAAGCAAACTTTCATAAACTATAAATGGGGTCTAACTGTGGTGGGCAGTAAATACCTTTCAAAGCAGAAGTGTATTGTATCACCTTATTTTTTATGACGATTGCAATGAGATTTCATTTTGCTAATATGAAGGTAAAACAGTTATATTATATGTATTTAAATTCTGGTGATTTCATTAGAATAGCTCATAGAGGGAAAAGGAGGGGGACATCTTCCCATACTCTTCATTTTGCTTCTCAAATTTATGTACACTAAAATGAGCGTGTTGATGTGGAGGCACATATGTGCTCGTTTGCATAGAACGAATTGTTTCGTTTGCCTGTTATGTACAGCCCCTAAGAATGTAGACGAGATTGGGAAATACCAAATAAAATAAAGACACTAATGCATGGATAGTAAGTTTTTGTTTGATTTCAGTTATACAGGCGATTGTCTCATTAGTAATGGCTAGAGATGAGTGATACATATCAATCTACCACAAACATTAGTAATTCATGCATCCAGCTTTTATTCATCTATAACACTTTAGTTTGACTTGTATAATCAGTGAAATCAATCAAAAAATTAAGAAAATCCTATTTGTTTGCGTCAAAACATGTAATATTAAATATTACATTTTATATTTTATATCCCCATGAATTTTATTAGAGGCACGTTTTTACAACATACATTCTAGCTTCGTAATAAACCTGCTAAATAATGTACTCACTTGTAGAAAGATTTTAACTAAACTTACTATAATTAGTTTTAAAGCAGATATCCTCCTATCATTCGACACAAGAGTTTAGTTGGGTGCATTTCAAATTATCTTGACATAAATTGCTTTAAAAAAGATTTCTCATGGAACATTGTAGCAACAGAAGAGATCACGTGGAGTATGTTTACAGTTCAACTTTAACACTGAAGCAGTCTCGGGGAATATTACTAATAATGAAATTATTACTACTATGGATTACGTGATATTCTCACTATGGTTAATTCAGCAGCTTTGACTGATATGTGATCAAACCTAAAATCCATAACCATAGTAAGTCTCATATTTATTTGATTCGCTGACCATTAACTGAAATATATGCCTTTAATTTTAAGTTAATGTTAGAAAAGTAATAAATGATATCCAACATTTTTAAACTTTGATAAAATAACTGTAATTGTGCAATCACCTTGTGGTATGCCGCTATTATTTTGAGGTGGCTCCATTACTGACATACTGTCATCCTCAAGAAAATAGAATATCTGTACTAGTCTGACCCTGTAGTGCTCAGCTGGAGATTCATTAACCGTCTCTTTGAAGTACCCATAAAATCGAAGAACTTTATTGTGTAGTGCTACATGAGCCGGTACGAATGCAGACGGAGGTGCTTGTTTCGCCCTTCCATACGTTAAGGTAGGTTGAAAATTCGCCAATTCATCCAATTCTTCCTCGGTAAGCTGGTTAACTTTCAAAGGACGACCGCCAATACCAACTTCTGGATAAGGTTTGGCATACTGAAAACCGTTTTTCAAACTGAGAGTGTGTGACAAATGTAAATTATTTTGCTAAATATTCGTTAGCTTTATGAAGAAAAATATTACTGTGGGGTCCCTGAACGTATTTCCAGGCAAAAATGGCAAACCTTCTAAGAGTTTATTTGGTTCACACATCAGTCGATTTTGAAAAACTGCTCAACCGGTTGTCATGTAAACGACGTTTATGGCCTTCCAATCCAGTATCCAACATCGTTTTTACGAGCTAGTATAAGCCAATTTGATTTCTTTGTGCTTGCTTCTTGATTGTAAGGTATAGGTTCCTGATCCTCGGTAAACTTCAGCGTAGCTCGTTCCACCACTCGACTGTCGTAGCTTTGGTTGACTCCAAAGGGAGTAGTGCTGGGATTAATTATATGTGGTTTGGAGTATGAGGTGTGTTGAGACTGTTACTACTGTGAATGGAGTTGATCCTTTCGCCAGTTAGTCCTCCGGTATCGTCGATAAGAGAAAAGAGATAGTAATAATAATAGTGATAATAATAGATATAATTAGTGAAGTTATTCAGACTAACAGACAGAAAAGGAAATAGGAAAGCGTAACAACAGTCAGCTGATTAAATTTGAAGAATAATATATATATATATATACCGGTAATAATAATAAGTGCAGTTAAAGTTCTCAGGAGAGTAAGACGGGAGAGAATACAAAGAAGTAAAACGACGAGTTTAATTGTCTACCCTGAATGGTGAATGCGATTTTAAGGGGATGCAGTCCTTGTGTCGCTGCATGGTCGTCCAGCCTTCGCTTAAAGGCGTCCAAAGACGGTGCCATAGCTACATCTTCCGGTAAGGAATTCCAGGGACGGCAAACCCTCAGTGAAAAGAAGTGGGAGCGCACCCGGGTCCTTGCCCTCTGGTGAGCTATCCTTCTGGGATTTCCACGTGGGAGCCTATACCTACTCAGTGGCAGAACACTTTTGTTTGGGTGATTCTGGTCATTTGTTATTTTGTAGGCAGTAATCGAATCCCCCCTAAGCCGACGGTAGCTAGGTGTGAACAGGCCTAATTTCTTCAGCCTTTCATCATATGGTTTATTTCGGAAACCAACCACTCCTTTTGTTGCCCGTCGTTGGACTCTTTCCAAGAGGTTGGTGTCTCTTTTAATCGTTGAGGTGCAATAATATTATGCACCTCAAGGTATGGCCTGATGTATGTTTTGCATAGCCTTAGAAAGAGCTCAGGAGTGAGTACACCTAACTGTCTATGCGTAAAGTATGTGACCGCATATGCCCTCGTTACATTCTACGTGTAATTTACGCTTGTGTCCAGTTTTTCCGTTAGGACTAGACCTAAGTCGCGTTCCGACGTTGTGCAGGACAGGCTTTCGTTGCACAGGGTATAACTTGCATTCTGCAGTCTACAGGTGCGCAACTTCACTACTTTGCACTTTTTCAGGTTGAATGTCATGCTACTGGCCACCGCCCAGTCTTCCAGAAGGTTTAGATCTTCCTGCAGCCTATCTGAGTCCTCCGGACACTTTATCGCCCTCCGTATCTTTACGTCGTTAGCGTAAAGGAGAGTCGGGCAGCTTAGACGGCGTGGTAGATCATTGATAAAAATCAAAAACATCAGTGGTCCCTGCGACACTCCTGAAGGCGGGCTGTGCCAAGATGATCGGACTAGGTTAACCTTAGTGCAAAATTGCCTGTCAGCTAGGTAGTCCTCTAACCATGACAGAAGTGACTCACCTATACCTGCCTGGCTTATTTTATATAGGAGAAGGTCATGGTGAACAGTGTCAAATGCCTTCTCAAAGTCTAGGAAGACCACATGGACTGGAACATTCATATCGCAGCATGATGTCCAGTCGTCCCAAGCTGACAGTAGGTTAGTGACGCAGGATTTGCCTTTTCTGAAACCATGTTCGGCTTCACGGAGTATATTAGACCTATCGAAATATTCCCTGATGTGGTCATCAGTAATACTTTCCAGTAATTTTGACATCACTGGGAGTAGAGCTACTAGTCTGTAACTAGTGGCATTTTGCCTGTCCCCACCTTCGAAGATTGGAGAAAGGATGGCTCTTCTCGACTCCCTTGGCGGTGTCCTCGAGTCCATTGAGTGCTGGAACAAGTTGCACAGGGGTCTACAGAGAGCTTCGGAGCACTGTTTCAGAACAGATGGCCTGACGTCGTCACAACCTGGGGACTTCCCAGGTGTGAGTCGCTGTAGCTTCCTTAGTACTATTGCTGGGTTTATTTGGGGAGTAGTCACTAGGTCTTCCTCCTGTGAAATAGTGGTGCCGCCATTTTGGTCCGTAACTGTAATATCCATACTGCTGCTTAGCTGTTTGGCGCAGACTGAACTGAATGTTTCAGCCACCTCCAGACTAGTGAGATATTGACCGTTTGGTCCTACTAAGGCACATAACCCCTAGTATGTCGGTTTTATTTCCGACATGAATCGGCACAAGTTTTGGGGGTTTGCTAGGAGTTTTTAGCAAGGTTAGTCTGGAATGACCTTGTCAGTCACGTCTCGTAAACCGTCAATGCCCAGCTCTTGCTACGCTGGGACTCACGCTGTTCCTTGAAGTTTCTCAGAAACGCTTAGTAATAACGGACGAAAAAACCAAAACACCGATTGGCCACTCGAGAATTCTTTATTGTAACACCAACATATAAACAATGTTACAACTAAGGTCTGTGAACAAATATTACAATAATAAATCACAATATTACTTCTGACGGTTTACTGCTGACTTCTTTCTGAACAGCGACCGATGAGAGGATGACTGTCGTATTGATGCCTCCGCGAAAATTGGGGAATTTGATTTTGAGCAAACAACCATGAATTGATCGTTCAATCTTCAACTACATTGACAGTCCTCCTGTCCCTCCTGACTCTTTCATTGCGCCGGTTCCTGAGTTCGAGGTATGCATCGTGGTCGGTGTGGCTCTTAGATACACTCCATGTAAACCAATCCTTCCGCTTTGCTTGGAGAATACGTAGCATGCCTCTTTTCAACCATGACGTCTTTCTTTTGGGCTCTGCTGTGACTAAAGGGACGGTATCCGCGATTGCCATGTGAATAATCTTTTTTACCACTTCCCAGTGTTCATCCACAGATAGGTCATCCCATGCTAAGGACCAGTCTGCGTCGGACAAGAGCCTCCGCATTTCAGCATAGTCAGCCTTGTTGTAACACAGACATGGTCGCGTAACATCCCACTGCAAACGCTCACGGAGAAGAGGACCGAAACCTAGACTGCATGGTCACTAATCCCTTGAGGAGTAATGATCTGGACCTTTTCGACGAGTAGTTTGTCACTAGTTAGAATATAGTCTAGTTTTGATGACTTTCCACTGGGGCCCCACCTAGTGTCGTCTCCAACATTCTCAGTCAGCCCCGTATTTCGAATAGTTTGCAGTAGGTTTCGGCCAAATTTTCCCTTAGCATACCCCGGGCCAAGGTTCAGTGATGGGGCGTTGAAACCTCCAGCTATGGTGATTTGGTCGCAGCCCAAATCTTGTACTCCTGTGATAGTGCTGAGCAGTAGCTGATTGTGCTCTACCTCACAGGTGGGAGATCGGCAGATGCAACCCAATAAGTGCTTGGTGTGGCCTACATAGAAATGACACCATATGGAGTCTGGGAGTTCAATAAGTGGTGGGTCCGTTGCGCACACACATTTAAGTTGCCTATCAAAGTATACAGCAACTCCCCCCTTCCTTATTATCCCTGTCTCTTCTGACCAGAACCATATCACCTATACTGATTTCATTGTTGGCGATAGTGGGGTTTAGCCACGTTTCAGTGAGAATGATCATTTTCAGTTGTAGGCGTGCTTGGAGACTTCGGAGTTTACCTACTTTCCCTCTCAGCCCCCTCTCATTGCTATATAGGCAGCTGACAGTGAGTCTAACAACCTCAGAGTGTTGTGGGGTAGTTGACGTGAAACTGTCTGCTGGTGGGGGACTTAATGTTGGGACTAATTGGCCGATTCCGATAGAACCGGCCCGTTGTAGTTTTCTCCATGGATTTAGGCAGGACACCTGGGTGACACAGATTGTTATTCTTAGAACTGCATCGTTCTAGTATCACTGAAGCTTGGGGACGTATTAAATCCTCAGTTTGCTGCCTCCTTATAGTTCGGGGTCTGCTTTCGCAGCGTCGGATGTGTCCTCCTATTTTCCTCTCCGTCTCATACCACCGTTGAAGTGCTATGGACAACTGCTCCGGGGAGTTGAATGTGACACTTAGCAGCTTTGGAGAGCTAATCAGTGTTAGATGAGCGGGGCGAGGTAGTCTGAAAATGGAGCGCCAAGAGCCATCTGAGATGAGAGCCATCTCCATTGCTGTGTGTCGTGCATGTGTTTTTCACAAGCAGTGCCGGTTTCCAGCTCCGGAACACCGTGTACCACCATAGAGGTGGAAGGCATCAGTTCCGGTGACTCTCTCGCCATTTGTCTGATAGCCCATGGTCTGTCTTGTCGCATCCTTATGTTCGAACTTCCATCCATGGGTAGTACCTGAGCCATTAAAGTACTTTTTCGGCCTCTTCGGCAGAGTCCAATGTAACCCTTAATGGGGGTGGCTTACCCTGAGGCGTGTGGACACCCCTGTACAGCCTGCACAATTTTGCTGAACTAATTAATTTATTGCACAGGTTGGACCACTGTTCCTGATCAAACAGGGCCCGTTGTTCAAACAAGCTATCCTTGCTCACAGGTACGTTAAAGAGGATAAGAGAGTTAGACCGACTAACCCCAGACTTAGGTTTGGCCTTCGGCTTCTTGTATTCCTTTGCATCATCAGCAACATTAGGCTTCATCGGTATCTGGCCAGCCATTTTTGTGTTGCCGAGCTTGCTAGTGAATGCAAGTGGTGCTTTTGTAATTCTGGCTCCCCCTGATGTGGAAGCAACCTAGTGGATCTTCACCTTGTGAAAATTGGCATTTCCAGTCAGTAGGACTGGTTTGTCCTTCTTAATATCTTTGCCAAGTTTTGGCAGTGTGATGTTAGCAGGTGGGGAGCTGCATGAGACTGTGTCGGAATTTGAAAGCGGCATGTTGTTTCTGCTATCCGCAGACACACTTTGTGGGACTATGCCAGGCTGACAAAGTGGACAAATGTACCAAAACCATGGGCATGGGTTATTTCTCATAAACTCGTAGTATGCTTTCGGTACCTCTTTGTCACAATGGCAGTGCACCCATCGTTTGCAAAAAATGCATTCAAACGCTGAGTCAGTTTTGGAAACTATGATACTGCACGCCTGACATTCATCTCCTTTCCTTGATGACGCCTTCGAGGTCTTATGAC